AAAAAGAAAATTGTTCTAAAATACATGTATTCTGTATTTGACAAACAGTTCATTCGACAAATGAAAACTCACAGGAATATGTTTCAGCTATTAGAACAAAATGATAGAGTTTTTATAATACTGGTTTAAAAATGCACTTCAAAGATTGCAGTGTTTGAAGATGTAGATTTTCAGGAGGCAACAGTATTGTTGACTTCTCCCTCCACTGGACACCAACTAACTATTTAAGTTGATTTGCATACAAAGCAGAGCTTGCAACATGATTCATAAAGGGTGTTTTTTTTACTTTTCATATAATACAGTAGTAGTCACACAATGAGGCAGTTCATATTTGTCTCAGTAAATCATTAATTTTTGACAGACACCTGTACAAAATACTTGGATAAAAGCCAGCTAAGATTTTCCGTTATTCTGCATGTTTTATGAATCTATTCACGTCTAAATGCAGCACTTTCTTTTTTTTGCGATGAGGCATTTGTTTTTATACTAAAATATCTGAATTACTTTGAATAAAGCTGGAAATTATGTCCCTTAAAATAATTAAACAAATAAGGCACCAATGTTTTTGTAAGATATTTACATCTTTTAAGGACATTCGGTAGACTGATTCCTCACTGTTGGTTCAACCCCAACACTTGTTAGTATTCAAAATTAATTATGACAATGCATATTTATATTTTTTTTGGTTGCTGTCTCTTTCTGTCCTGTTCTCGAATTATTTTAATTTTTGTTCTCAAAGTGATCAGATATTGTATGATTTCTGTTGCATTTTTCTTATATACTGCAAACTTTATTTGATTATGATTTTCCAATGCAAATTGTCAACTTTGAGTATGGTTGGCATTAATCTTGCTAAAAATCAGACCACACATTCTACGATGGACTAATCATCATCAGCATTTATTCGGTCATCGCCTCACTACTACAGTGGGCTATGATTTCATCCTCAGACTAGTGATACATTACATTATATTACGAGTCTCAGTTCTATCCTGTACACCCAGACGCTACACACTATAAATGGTGCAGTCTAGTTTTAATTGCCTTTTTTTTTTTATAGCGATTTCGGACTTTGCACCATTACTGCAGGGAACAATGTCTGCCAGACTATTCTCCGATGTCGATGAAAGTTGAATTTTTCCATGTAGTTCTAAAGGGTGGTCGTCGTACCCGACGTATTCCCGTGCGACGAACACAACTCATTGGAGTTGTTTTTACGCGAAACTCGAACGCTATGCGACAACTACCGCCACCTTTCTACTTTTTTTTTACCCGATAAACTGAATTTTTTTCTCTCTTAAGATGTGTGCTTTTAAACATGTTGAATTCCTCCTCTACCACGAATTAGACATCCATAAAATAATTAACATACAGGGCTACGTATAAACATTTTCTCATTACAAGCGTCAGCGCTTCTATGATCCAAATATATCGCGCTCGATTCCGAATAAAATTAAAACAGCATTAATATTTCAGAATGGATTTTTGCATAAAACAGAGATGTTTGCTGCATGGAATTATAATTATTCCTAATGTATGGAAAACTGAGTCTGTCCTAACATTGCATTATGTATTGACATTATTAATTGCAATCACTCTCCTCTTCGTAAATCAACAACCGAGAGATATCTAACTATAGAGGGAGACGTACACATTCAAAGCACATTATAGAGGGCGACAAACACATTTGAAGCTATTACGAGGATCATCATCATCAGTTATATCCGCATCGGGGGGGGGGGGGGTCACAATTAGAACCCTACCAACGAGTATGCACCAAAGTGGTCTGTACATTATATTTTGAAATGGGTAAGGGACGGTTTTTGACATTTTCTGGAATCAAAACAGTGATGATATACGCCATAAAATGAGTAACATGTGGTATAAATGGATCCATTTTACCAGAATTCCTGATGCAGCTTAACAAATATTTATGCAACTGGAGGTGGGTGTTCCTTGAAAATTTGTTTTGAGAATTTAGTCTTCTGGGCCGTGACCAAAAGTTGGAGCCTCGTATAAGTGACCTCCGAGATTCCCATGGTGCACCACACTATTGTAAACTATAACATGCGCAAAAAACGCAAAGGATCATGGGTAGATGCTTGTTTGTAAACAATGACACGCTATGGCCATCTGACGCATGCATGAAGCGTTGAATCCCCCTTTCAAATTTGAACCAACATTGTAGTGTTCACTTCCATTCAAGTTGATTTTGCACAATTGCAGCATTAACGTCCAGCACACAAGATTGCAGAGTTCATGCTTCTTCCAATAGAAGCTTTCATGATTACATCATTCTCTGCTTTTAATTTGAGTTCAAACGATTGCAGCATTTACTTTGCCGTTCAATAAAAGCTCACCTGAATTATGTGTTTACTTTCCCCATTGAGAACCAAAAATTGACAAAAATCATTTATACTCTATCCAAAATTTAGAGAAGACGACAAAAACAGTTTTGTTTGGAGACTGAGGAATAATTTATTGGTATAATGTCCAACAGAAAAACACATTAAAATTGTGAGAAGGGGCAATATATTTGATGTTATCGTACAGATGAATAGCGAGACCAACTAAAAATATAACTTTAAAAATAAATCACAGAATTCAAAAATGAAAATGTTTTCAAATGAGGTTATTCACAAATTTGTAATGACGACAGTAAATAAAGAGATGACCTTATATTTCCATTATTACAATCTAGTATTAAACGCAATCCATCAAGTTCACCTTTGATGACAGAAAGACACAAAATTGCAAATAAATTAATTGGAAACATTCTTTTCATTGATTTTAATGGTACTAGTTCGAAAAAAATGAGTTATTTTTAAAGCCTCTATTTCCAGCAGAAGGTTTATCTCGCCGACTGATCCCACCAAACTTTCGACCACGTCCGCCACGCCCACCAAATCCTCCTCGTCCGAATCCACCTCGTCCAAATCCATTTCTTCCCTGAGTGCTTGTCTCGATAATATCTGGTAGATGCTGAGCTTGTTCCAGAGTACATCCCCATCTGTTAACCCAGTGTGACTGCAAATACAGACAAGAATTGGTTGTTTTCATTGGTGCCAAAGAACACAAGTGATTGGTTAAGCATCAATGTCTCATTTGCATATGAACACATTTTTTTTAATTATTATGAATTATTAGAGTTGAAGACAGTCACTCACCTCAAGTTTGGGAATCACATCGTTGGGTACATCGAACACGGCGCTCTTTGTATTCGTACACATTCTCATTCCTCTGAACTTTTCCTTGACATCTTCCGGTATCTGGTTACCAAGGGCTCTCCAGACGTAGGAAAGCGCTCTCATTTCTGTCTGGCAACTGAATATATAAGTTGTATAACCCTAAACATGAAAACAAAATGTTATTTTATTCTCCCAGCATTTTGATTGCCTCAAAACATTGTTTTGATTTTGTTTTTAATTACTGTAGTTGTTCGAGTGTCAACCCCTCTGGGATAAAATTTATAACTTCTCCTGAGCGATAATTTATGCTAATTTATTCATAACAAATCGCCACGAGTGTCTTCATCGCCTAGCATCGTTCAAATTAACTTGAGGATCAGCCGTTACGCCCCGGGGTCACTAATCACTCTTGGGTGCGTTTACTAAGTGGAACAGCATTCAACCCTGCATTTCACATGAATATTGGTCTGCACATTTTGGAAGAACGAAAGTATATTCTAAACGAAGTTTCAAATAAAAACTAACACAACTGCTTATAATCGAATAAATGACTTGTTGTAAAATGCTTTAAATTTATACTCAAGCAGAGGTTTACACTTAGACAACCACGGCAGGCAAACTATTATAACATACGTGATTATAAGGTACCACTGTTTTGCATTCATGTCTAAAAGTAGACCCGATTGTGGATAGTACAAATGTAGGAATAAATGCTGCTGTCGAATGAAATCGCCAAAAATATTATTTTGTAATTCTGACATAGAGTGTAAGAAGAACATTACAATATTTTGTGTATAAAAGAGAAAAAAAATAATATTTTTTCCAAATTATAAAAATGATGTCAAAAATAAAAAAGATACTTTTATACTTTCTATAAGGGCTTTTACTGGTGAACCTGACAGTTTTGTTGTTTCTCAAAACGTGGCGGATAGTAATAATGGCACCGGTATTTTATTTTTATTCTATCGATTAGGACAATTTAACAAATAATATAGTTGCTGCTAAAAAGAATGTACATAAATAAACCAAGCAATGCCAAAATATGTGTGAGAATTTGTGTTACTACCTACTGTATCTAATCATTGTATGCTAGTTCCAGAGCCATTTAATCACGGTTGCAAATAGTACTTTTCGGATGCTGTATCCCTATTGTACAGGATTTTTAGTGCATTAAAGTTAATTGCATTTTTAATACCTCGTCTCAGAATTACATTTGAAATGAAGTTGGTATAATAAAATGGCACTAAACCAGAACTACATTTGGGTATATATGTCGTATATTACCTCAAATCTGGGACAGTAGTCTAAATAAACATGCAACAATTTCCATCAATTACGGCTGCATGTCAGCCATCTTGAATTGGATTGTAGATGTACAAAAATGACAAAAAACAAAACAAACCTCATCAGAATTGAGCAGTGATCTTGATGTGACATCAGTAGCTCCTGATACAAGTGCTAGAGCTGCTGCCAGGGCCTCAACTGGCCCTTTTTCTTCTATCAGTTTTTCTGCAGCTTCATGGAAAAGTTTAATGGCAGATTCGGGTACAGCATCTAAAGATCTGAAATGTGAATACATTATGAATCATTCCGGCCATTTTTAAACCAAAAGTTGCATTAGAATTGCATGCTGGATTTAAATATGCACGATGAATTTTAAATACTCATTTACAAACTCATTTTAACAATAATACACCCTCATCATTTTAGGAAGTGCATACGCTACTCAAGAGCAGATAGGATAATCCTAAAAGCGGCAAAGTCAACTTTTGTCAAATTTACCATGTAATTTTTTTCAAAATTGCGATCAAGACCTCAAGCCAATAGTAAATTGTGTTTATTTGATCAAATCTCACAAAAAAAATACAAAAAGAAATTACGAAAAATTCAGAAAGGGAATATTACATACGAATTAATAAAACTACTTACTTGAGTGCATCGTCTGCAGATGTTTTTATAATATCTTCAGGTTGAGGGGCACCAACTCTTCTAAATTTTATGCCCTGAAAGAAAGAAAACTATCAATGAAAAAGAAACCAACACAGAAGTACAAATTTTGTTCTATTGAATGGTACAGGTTAAGAGCTCTGAATTCCAAAGTCCACTTTTCTCATATTTCACAAATTAACGCAGTTTCTTTTGTGTTTCTGAAATTTCGATCAAGACCTGTATCCAATCAGAAATTATGTCAATTTGGTTCAAAATAGCGAAATTACAGAAAAATACATAAAAAGATGCACATAAAAAACTGCTGCTGTGAAAAATAATGGCGGTCAAAGGTCAAACATGTATATTAATACCCAATGACTGAATAGAAGCACCGGAAAGTAATTCCTGATAGTCATTTTTAATTGAGACTTTTAGACTAGATGAAAGTTTCAAGGATCTCAATTTAGAAACAAAACAAAGAAATTTCAATAATTTCACTACTTAGTGGAAGGATACAAATGTTGATGGCTGTGAAGAGGTTGTGGAAGATTACAAATGTTGATGGTTGTGAAGAGGTTGTGAAAGGTTACAAATTTGATGGCTGTGAAGTGGTTAACACATGCACATGGATGTAATGTTTTGCATGTTTTTAGTGTTATTGTTGTAAATGTAATCACAATATACTTACCGCTCTTCTTTCTATAAGCTTTAAAACATGTTCCTCATTTGGTTTATAAAAACACACAGACACACCGGTTCTGCCGGCTCTACCAGTACGGCCAGATCGGTGAATATAGTTTTCAGCATCCTGTCAAAATGAAACAAACCATAGAATATACTGTAAATCACGAGACATTTGTTTTGCAAATGTTTGCAAATTTTGTGTCTGGAAACTTTGTAGCAGAAAACAGTTCATTTGGGATCTAAAGACAGTGAGTTTCTGACTTTCAGTGGGGTTCTAAGGAGCCACAGTAATTTTCATTAGGGTTCTAAGGAGTTGCAGTAACTGGGACTCTCGGAAGTCAGATACTTTCAATATGGTAGTAGGGGATCACAGTGACTTTCACTGAGGTTCCAGAAAATCAGTGACTTTAATGTGGTACTAGGGAGTCACACTGACTTTCATTGGGGTTCCAGGGAGTCACAGTAACTTTCACTGGGACTCAAGGGAGTCAAATACTTTCAAGTTGGTACTAGGGAGTCACAGTGACTTTCATTGGGGTTCTAGGGAGTCACAGTGACTTTCATTGGGGTTCTAGGGAGTCAGTGAGTTGCACGTTATTTTGCTCTGAGTACCTTCAAATTTTCAAATCTTAAAAATAAAAGATTTACATTACATTACCCACAATACAGCAAACATATTCTCAAAGCGATTAGTTTCTAGCTAGCTGTCTACTGCTACAGAAACAGCATAAATTATCTTACCTTAGGAGGTTCACACATTACAATCAGATCAACTTCAGGAATGTCTAGACCTCTGGCAGCAACATCAGTAGCCACGAGACAACGGAATTTACCATCACGAAAACCCTGCGATAAATCAAATCACAATTTCAATTCATGGATTGATTATTAAAAAATTATACCGGTTTCGGAAATACTAAAACATAATGAATGGGCTGAAAAAACTACAGCAGAGATGGCACAGCCTATTTTTCAAAAATATATTTATAAGTTAACATAAGCATTTTAGCAATTTGCATGTCAACAGTCAACTTTGGTTGCCGTTCACAAAATAAACTTGTTTAATTTTTGACAGATTTTTTCTATGATTTTGATCAAGCCCTGTGGGTAGTGAGAAATTATGTCTATTTGGTCAATTTTAATTAATGAAATTAAAGATGAAAATGTGAACAAACTTGTGTCTAAATTAATTATAAATTACGTTTAAACTGACATTCACAACCATACACATATTTAACACCTTAAAAACGCCACCGTCATGACACTGCGTTTCGCACAACGAGATATACATATAAAAATACTGTAAAATAATTTATTTTAGCTGGAATTAATTTTCGCTGAAAAGACTTTTTCGGTGTTTTCTGTGGAATTTATTTTCACTGATTTTTGACGAGTTAAATGTAAAATAGAAGAAAAAATGTATATTCGCTGGATTTTATTTTCACTGAATCATTCCTTCAGCAAAAATAGCGAAAATTATTCCAAGCGAAAATAAAGCATTCTACAGTAGTTGGGTTTTTTTATGTGTAGAAGCGACTAGGGATTTAACTAACTTGGCTCTATTGGCAAAATTAGAGCAGTGAGCCACAACTCCCAGAATGCATTTCATTATTACCTTTAATGTGATCTCTCGCTGGTTCTGGGCAATGTCACCGTGCAACACTTGAACGTCTTGTCGTATACTTGAACTCAATCCCATTTCATTCGCGTCTTTCTTCGTTTCTGTAAATATCATACACCGGCCGTGCTTACCGCTGTATACTTGTACGACATCACTGATAGTCGCTGCTCGCTGCCGATAATGGCATCTGATTGCTAAATGCTAGTGAAAACAGAAGGTTCATTGCAATAATTTTTAATAATAGACGAACCTTTGTATTGGCGGCAGTGAGCATATTGGTATTTTACTGCCTGGCAACCACAGCGGTTGAAAACTCACGATAAACTGTATTTTGGGCTAGAAGTTGAGACTCCTGAACAGTGTAACAAGATTACCCCTACATATATAAATTTGGTTGTTCAGGATTGTCTCATAGTTGAGTTTGTGCAGTTTTGTCAAATTTAGTTGTCTTTAATGACTCTTCGACAGGTGCTTCACGCAAAGCCCATATAAATACATGTACAGTGGTGCTATCTTAGAACTTTTTGTGACGTACCACACCAAAGAAAAGCAGCCACCCAAGGTACTTATAAAATGGTCCTTTATAGACAAGGTTTTTATATGGAGGTTGATTAATTTTTTAATAAAATTATAAAAATTAATTTTTAACTCAAGGAGAAACTTATGAACAGATATTTGACTAAGAATAAATAAAACTTGTTTGTCTCGATTAAACTGAAAATGGTTAAACATGCAATTATCTTCTGTCATTTTGACCTTTATACTAACCAAGGTATCTGACCTCTGACCCCAACAGTGTCAAAAGGGTGATGACTGGTGGCAGCAACTCAGTTTTTATTTATCTGCTATTTATCACTGCTACTAAATTTTAAGATTTTCAAAAATTTTCCAAAATTCTTGGAATTTGGTTTTTGAAATTATAATGATTTACAAATTGACAACTTCGTTTTAATGCAAATGAGTATTATTTTGAAAAGAATTACAGATTTTAATTTTTAACAATCTGATGATGTATGACACATGAACAATGAATGGTGTCACCATGGTGACAGACAGACATCAAACAAAAGATTGTTTAAGTTAGGAATTTCCCATTAGCTGCTTTTATATAACATTAAATGTTTGTAGAATTAAACACGAAAAAAAAAATGTTAAAGAAGAAATGTGAATAACTACCGTAGGTTTTTTTTTCAAAAATGCATCTTGATAAATAAAACAAGCAGCCTCTCGGCTGAGATAGCTCCGCTGTTAGCAATGCACATTTCAATTAAGAACAGAAGATATCATTAGAAAATGAACAATATGTATAGTATCAAAGCAATCGGACTAGCTGTTTTTAACAAGAAGTCGAAAATATCACTTTTCACCAAAAATAACAAAAATATTCATCAAAATTAGAAAATTGAAGATATCATCATGAAATGAACAAATCTGAGAGAGATCCACATGTAGTACCTATATATGTAATATCAAAGCAATCAGAATTGAGGTTTTTAACAAGAAATCGAAAATATCACTTTTTACTAAAAATGACAAAAATATTCATCAGAATTAGAGAATTAAAGATATCATTACAAAATGAACAAATCTGAGAGAGGTCCACATTTAGTACCTATATATGTAATATCAAAGCAATTGGATTTGCAGTTTTTAGCAAGAAGTCGAAAATATCACTTTTTACCAAAAATGACAAAAATATTCACCAAAATTAGAGAATTGAAGATATCATGAAATGAACAAATCTGAGAGAGGTCTACCCAAGGTACATATACACCAAATATAAAAGCATTCAGGCTTATAGTTTTTAAGAAGAAGTTGAAAAAGTAAAACATTGACACGGACGACGACGGACAATCACTCATATGATAAGCTCCGCTCGACAAATTCGACAGCGTAGCTTGTAAAATAATGTTTTGATGGTAAATAATAAAGTATTGTTTGATACAATACTGTAAAATACTTTATTTTAGCTGGAATTAATTTTCACTGAAAAGACATTTTGACTTCTTTGTGTGGAATTTATTTTCACTGTTTTTTGGCGAGTTGAATGAAGAGTGAAAACAGGAAAAAAAGGTATTTTGGCTGGATTTTATTTTCTTCGATTCACTTTTTCAGCAAAAATAAATACAGCAATGTAAACTTCAGTGCGCATGTTAACATACGTAAACCAGGATAACATGCTTTTGAGTTTTACATCATTTCTTGAATAAATAATTACTGTCAAAACAATACTTTTATTTTACGATAAATTAGACTATTTGAACCAAAAAAATGCCTTTTTAATTAATCAATTTGTACTTACTTCAACTGTGGTAGCAGTTTTCAACTTCTGTTGTCCAATTAAATCAACTCTTTTAATCTCGCTTTTCATGTATTTTTTCGCAGTCCTATAAACCCACTCTGGTAGGGTTGCTGAGAACAACAGCGTCTGGGGGTTTTCACCAGGGTTATCTGTAAGTATGTAATCAAAGAAAGCTTAGAAAGAATTCCAACCAGCATTTACCTATCTTGTACTACCAGAAAGATGCATTTACTTTTCCTGTACCACCAGAGGGAGATTTTTACTGATCATGAATCACCAGACATTTACTGATCTTATACTACTAAAGAGAGATATTTACTTTTTTTGTACCACAAGAGGGAGACATTTACTGATCTTGTATCATAAGAGGGAGACATTTACTGATCTTGTACCACAAGAGGGGGACATTTACTGATCATGTACCACAAGGGGGGGAGTGGGGCATTTACTGATCTTGTACCAATAGAGGGAGACGTTTACTGAACTTGTACCAATAGAGGGAGACATTTACTGATCTTGTACCAATAGAGGGAGACATTTAGTGATCTTGTACCAGTAGAGGGAGACATTTAGTGATCTTGTACCAGTAGAGGGAGACATTTAGTGATCTTGTACCACAAAAGGGGGGGGATATTTATTGATCTTGTACCAATAGAGGGAGACATTTACTGATCTTGTACCACTAGAGGGAGGCATTTACTGATCTTGTACCACTAGAGGGAGACATTTACTGATCTTGTACCACTAGAGGGAGACATTTACTGATCATGAACCACAAGAGAGATATTTACCCATCTTGTACGATGCTGATAGAATCTCTTCAACAGTGTCTGCAAAACCCATATCCAGCATTCTATCCACTTCATCCAAAATCACATGTTTCAGTTGACTTAAGTTAAGAGTGTTTTTTTGGACGTAATCAAGAATTCTTCCCGGTGTTCCAACTAAGACGTCGACACCACGCCGGATTGCAGACTCCTGTGGCCAGTACGCGGTACCGCCGTAAACACACAAAGTTGAAAGTCTTGGGTTCGATGCCTGAAAATCTTCAGAAACCTTTGAAAATAAAGTGGTAAGTTTAATATCCCATATAAGAGGAATTCTCAGTTTTATTATTGATTATCAATGGAATATTCAAGTCGTACCACATTTTAAGTCCTTGATGAAATGAAGTCTGAAACTTATAATTTGGGTTCTGCATTTCTCTGCCAATCATTGCTTAAATGTTTTCTTTCAAATTTAGTACAAATATTCCACACAAGGTCATCACATCAGTTTGCATTTTAATTAATCAAAAAAAGGGTTTTGTTGTTGTTTGTATCAATACCTCACATAAATTAACCAATTCTATTCAAAGCTGACCATACCACCAACAAGATATGAAATATTTTTTTTTCATTCAATCCAATATGGCCACCAGGCGACTATTTTTGTCATGACAATTTTTCAACTCTAATACCATGAGTGTGTTTACAATTAATAATACTTATTGGGTGTGATCCAATCCAATATGGCAGACATGTGGCCATTTAGTTTTTCATTGTACACATGTATGGTATATACACACAATACTGGATTAATATTTGCAGGGTTGGCTTGGACAGTTTCTTCCAAACACGAGATGACTATACATTACAAATAGACTTCCAAATTACAAATTTAATTCATCATTCAATCAACTTTTTGTTTTACCTATTGGAAGCTTCTCGGAGAAATAGGGAAATTTCAATGGTTTAAAAAATCTGAAATAAAAAGGTGGCTTAAAGGCAATTTTTTTTCTTGTTTAAATTTTTCTGTAATTTTCGTTGAATTCAGTCTTAATTTTCTAGATTTTGATAGAAATTTGAAATTTTCGTAACATTTCATGTGGAAAGAGCAGAATATAAATGAAACTATTTTGTGGATGGTACCTGAAGTTGACTTTAGGTTGCTCGGAGAGTTAAACATAAATATTTTGTGAAACTGGACTAAAAGTTGAATTGAAGTAGAAGAGAGTTAAGCTTCATGAAATACTAAATTACTACAAGACAACTTACTTGCTTGGCCAATTCTCTGGTTGGTGCCATCACTAACACTTGAGGTGGACGCCCAGCTTTGAATTCTGTGTTTTTCAATTTTTCAACCAATGGTAACGCAAACGCTAATGTCTTGCCAGTACCGGTCCCTAGAAACAAAACAGATTTATTAGTTCGTGCTAAAAAGCATAAAAAAAGATTAATTTCGCAAGAACAGTAAGTTCATGCCACTTTGCTTCGTTAGCACTACACTATGCTAGCACTTTGTCAAAAAGTTCATCTTTGTTGTTTTTATTCTGGCTCACTAAAAAGTCATCATCGCTCACTACCACCCTGACCGCAGTTGATTCCTTTCCAGTCGCTAGCCCGAGCAGATGCCTAAAAAACGCAAGAACGCTGACAGCATGTGAATCACAAAGATCCAAAGAGGTTGAGGGTAAGGTCAAGATGGCCAAGGTGAGACGATTGAACTGTGGAAATGCAGACCATATTTTAAAAGTGAAAATTGTTCTTTCTCGTTAGGTCTCATTTTGTGCAAGTGATGAATCATGGTGGTCGACACTAAGGTTAAACTTAATTTAAATCTTTTTTTTTGTGATTTTCAGTTCGCATCCACAAACATTTTTTTGCTGGTTGAAATATAAAATGACCAGACCCATTGCATGTTCAATAAAAAATTGCGATCTTTTGTCTTGGGCATGTGTATATTTCAACTTTGAGGTCAAATACTCAATCAAATTTATAATCAAATTTTAAAGTCTGGTTTTGTAGTTTATGCGAGTTAATATTTGAGTCCCAGAAGCTTTTAAATCAGCATGACAAGTGTCATCAGTGATAGTTTGCAAGACATTTGATCAGGTTCAGCTTATTCTGTAGTGGATGAAACAACAGATGCTGCAATTCTCAAACAACTAATTACTTGTATTTGATATATATAGACAACCGTCAACCAATGTATTGTAAGTAACAGAATGTTCATAATTAGATAATTTACTTCACAGTTTATTTATCTGTTTTATTCAATTCTGCTACTCACAGCAATATGTGTGCAGGTGAAGATTTCTTAATGAATATTGATGCTTTATTTAAAGGCACTCTTCAAATAGCACAACACAGTTTTTTGAAACCAAACAGTTGGATTTTAGACACTTGGTCTCATGGTACTGCTGTGATGGTCGGCGAAAAAACTAGGGTGATAATTTTATTTATGAACACATACCAAGAAGATTAACATTCACTGTGTAGCACACAGGCTTGCAGAGGTCATGAAAGTGGCCTATTAATGCGATTTTATATTGAGATATTCATCGCATACATTCTTCGTAGTATATTAAACCTTTAAAATATTAATAACTAAGCATTGAATTTTTGCTAAGTCACACAACGTTTACAATAGATGAGAAAATCATGTCTATACTTACTTGCTTGGGCAATCACGTCATGTCCGTCATAAACGTAGTCGAATGTTTTAGCTTGAATTGGAAACAAGTGAGTGATGCTACGAGCTGAAAGTTGAAAACATACAAATTTAGAAGAATAAAATCCACAAATGCGGCAATTGCCTTTGTATGATTTTGTCAACTTGAATATTAAAAATATTTAGTCAATTTGTTTTTTTCAAAATCAGTGCACATGTAATTGATTGATGAAGGCAAAGCTACGACAGAGAATAACCTGTGAAAAACCTGTTTTGAATCATCTCTGTTGCATTTCAACTAATACATTTCACAGCAAAATATGATCCAACATGAAAACTGCAGTGATTCTTTGGTTTAAGATCACAAATACATATTGGATTTCTGATGGCCACCATTTAAATTCTCAGTAAACATATAGCGCACAAGAGCAAAAAAAGTAGCAGTGTTGCAGCCAACTCAAAATGCATTCTGGGTCAACAAACGAGGAGATCCCTTTGCACATGACACTTTGCTACAGAATGTAAAAATTTGGTAGTTCTGCACAAAACAAGTCGGTTATTTATTGAATTAGCTACAACCCGACGTTATTATATTGATTCATTTTGAACGCTGGATCTATTCCAAACACAATGATTTGAAGAAATAACAATTCAGAATACACATTGAAGCGATCACTGATGATATACTCGCCTTTCAATGAAGCTATCGTCTGTGGTGAAAGTCGAAAATTACTAAATGCTCCTGCTTTCTCTTCCTTTGTTAATTCCTACGATTAAAAACAATATAGTTGTCATGACGATAAATGAAAAACAGAATTTTCACATAATTATAATTTTTCTGATCAGTCTCAATTACATACCTTTGGTTCCTCTGTAACTTCAGTCTTGTCATTGTTACTATGGTTACTACTGGTCACATCTACTACTTCTTTCTTTGTCGGCTTCTCTGTGTTACTACTCTCACTACCACTATCATCTTTTTTCTCTTTCTTGTGTTTTTTGCTCTTTTTAATTTTCACTTCAGAACTTTCAGCTTCAGCTTCTGCTTCATCTTCGTGCTTTCGTTTCTTATTTTTCTTATCTTTTTTGATCTTCTATGGGATAATAATAATAATAATTACTATACTTGAGTTGGGAAAATTTGAGGATACGCCACTAAAAGTTGACAGAATGATAATGATGATCTGTTTGGCATTAATCAATTTTAACCAACAATTTGAATATCCAGTGATCAATATTACCCTGTAAACAACAACTAAAATATACAATGGTGCCACTATACTCGTTTGACAGCCATTTTTTTTATTAACTATCGTACAGGGATCTCACCAGCCCAACACGAGTGCCGGACGGTCATGAATATTAATGAGCTATATGAATATTAATCATCAATGAATATTAATGAGTTCGGTCGCAGTGCAAATATTTTTGGACATTAAGACATTATGTTTCACAATTTAGAAGAGTTTGAATTAAAAAATTAAATTTATTCGAAATGCGAATGCTGCAGACTAAAAAACAGAAACAAATATATTATTGTTTAATATTAATGTCTATTGTAAAAAGTTAAATAAAACACATTTGAAACCAGGAAAATTTCACGATGTTATTTACTCCAAATACATTCTCCTTCAAAAAATCGAACACATAATTATTTGGAGTATTGTTGTAATTTATTATTCGTACAATCAATTTCTAAAACGTATATATTCACAGTAATAAGCGAACAAATAAAACTTTTGAACTTACAAAGTTACGATGTGACATAACTTACTTCGCGATGTTATACACCGATTATACCAATAATTCCTCTTACCGGTTACTCAGTCATGATGCCAAGCAAAAAATGTTACTTTGTTTTTTTGATATGAAATAAAAGTAAAATTTGACTTAGTTTTATCAAGAGTAGATATTTTTGATCACTCGATCGCTTCGATCAAAAACACAGCCCGCCATGATGTTTGTGACATATTAGTTGAGAGGCATGTGTCCATTGACCCGATGGGTCAATAATTCCATCAAGCATTTCCGTGCAGGGTTCTCTACGAGGGGTTTTAACAGGGCGCCGCGCCCTGTTATCTGAAATCATTATATTTCCTGTGTGCCCTGGTCCCAGACAAAGAATTGTTTACAAAACAGGTCTTCCGAAGATATTCATCGTACTCAGGGTAACTGGATCATTGTTTTAAGGTGCACCTGTGAAAATCTTGGCTTGTCATCACAGCAGGTCACCGTGAGGTGATAACACCACCGAACAAAAAGTTGCACGTTTTTTCATCATGATTAAAAATGAACATGTGGCCTAGAAAAGTGCATTACCGTACCCATATTTTTACTGACGTCAAATATATAAAAACGATTCGTTAAAACATAAGGTCTATAGTTAAAATCAAGTTCACGCTGTGACTTGTAGCAGCAACAACGTCACCGTCGAGCAGAACAAAGGCAGCCCTTTGCATGATCAGTAAACAAGCAGCGCAGCCGACGTACCATCACAGACATCGCTGATCACCAAGAAGTCCACCTGAATGTTTGCTTAAACATGTAAATGTTTATATTTTGACGAATGTCACGATTTAAAGTTGAATTTTCTTTAAATCACGATTTACAAACCCCAGTAGTGGAGGAAATAAATTTACTTGTGTTTTTCGCGTCAATGCATGGCTTTGGCTAATCAAAAGCATCGTTACATTCACAGGTTGTTTTAACACAGGCGTCTAGGGAAAATTTCGGGGCTACATAAATTGATCGGTTCTAACAGTAGGTTGGTTTTGACAGGTTTTACTGCATTTCAAACCTTGAGTCAGAGCTTTGTTGAAATTTGCGTAATCAATTTCAGGATTTACTGGACATGATTCTTGGGAATACATTCTTCTTGAGTTGGTTCTACTTATTTTGTCAGTAAACTTTGACACTTGTCCACTGAATTGATAGTGTATCTGTGCATGCATTATTTTGGGAAGTGCCATTACAATGTTTAAAAAGTCACCCGCTCGTCCAAATTTATTGATGATCGTTACTTGGTATAATTCGCATCTTTCTTTTTATATACCTGAAGCCACGGTATAAAGTTTAATGTCAACCTCCAAATAGTAACACATCCTGGTAATATCTGGTGGAGGGAATTTCTCAGACCCCCCCCCCATAATGGAACATTGCTATTGAATATCAAAAACAGTAAAACATAGAAAATACTGAATGAATAATATTGGAAATTATTGCAGTTGATTGTTAGGCCAAAATAAAAATTGTTTTGTTGCCCACCGACCAAAAAATATGAAATATCGGGTCGCGTTCCCCCCCATATACCTCGGCTATTTATGATACCCTTAGTTTTCATGAGTTTAAAAAAAATAAAAATCTGACTGACCGACCCAATTATTCAACTTTCCGACTTGAGGGCAACAAAAGTTGTTGTTTTTTTGGCCTTATAGTGTAGCAATGTTTTCACAAAGTACCAGGATGTATGACCGTTACGGGTCACGCATATGGACTACAGTACTAGTATACCGGTACTATGCTAACGTTAGTAAACATTAAAAAAAATAGTCAGCAGAAACTAGAATCATATTAATCGAAACAAATCAGACAGTCTGAGACTCTCCATACAAAAATATATAACGTTTTTACACCACCTGCGTATCGCATAGTGATTTTAGTGTTGAAAATTTTAACTACGTTTAACCGGAAATGGGTTTCCATGTGGATCGAGGCAATAATTTGATTTATACAATACTACACACGATCAACACGAAAACAGCGACAATCCCACATAAAAACTGCTGCAGGAAAAAAAAAGAAACACAAAACATACGAACATTGCACAACAATATTTACTATACATGAGAACGCCATGACGCATTTGGCGATTCGACGTACCTTTTCCTTCGCATCTTTCTTCGATTTTTTGGACTTTTTGTGTTTGACTTCAGTCTCTGAACCGCTCGATTGATTCTTGACTTCTTCCTCCATGGTATCAATCAACTGGACAGGCATGAGATAACGAAGGGGAAGCGTAAAGTAGCAAAAAAACGAGGAAGGATCTCGACACAAAACGTGTCAAACGAAATAGCACATGGAAAGGAACGATCACGTGACACGGATGGCAACATTTTACCTTCAACCCTTGACCTTTACACGACTATCGACATTTGCCCGACAGATGGCGCAACTTCTTAATCAGTGTTCCACAACATACTATTTTTCAACCTTTATATTTAGACTTCTGTACAGTCTCTTTTTTATCATTTGGTGTTTTTCAATAAAATATGGCACCATTAATACACCATATTTTTTCACATTTTCTTCATTTTAAAAATAAACTTTTTATTCACTGCCTTTTTTTTGCAACTATTCTTTCTATTAAAACCAATTGCACTAGAAACACAACGATCTGTATCAATTGTCTTAATAGATTTCAGAAAAACAAATTTACATGAAATTTTGCTCACCATATCAGGAATCTTGGTGCACATGGTCAGAAATTATCTTTTCCACCATTGTCAACTTTTTGCATCATCTACAAAATGATTTCGTAGTCTGTTTCTTTCCACATGATATAATTTTTTTTTCACACAATATTAACATAAAAGTTTACAGTAACAAAAACATACACACACTGAAAAACTGAATAGAAAAGAAAAGTTTGTGGAGTTTTCTATTTTGTACCCTTCAATGGCAACTATCATGTTTTGTTTGTACTATTTTAATAAAAAATAAATTCAAACATTTTTAACCAGTTTACTACCTTGATCTTTATAAAATTGAGCCTTGTTGACTGCTGTCATTGAATGAGTGGCTACCCATTTCTCTATATCCTAAGTGGCTCCCATTTCTGATGATATAACATTTTGTTTTAGGCCAATTCATGTATGCCTTGAAACCAAAAAAAAGACAAGATTTTGGCTCCTCCCTACATTTGTGTATGTATTTTTTAAACAATAAAATAAAATGATTCAACATGATATTTTCCACCTCATAGATGCCAAGTATAATATTTTGTTTATTACTAACTATATTTGAAATTAAATTAGATTTGCTGTATTTTTTTTCCACGACTGTACACAATTGCATTCTACGAACAAGTGCTCCATGGTTCCAATTTCTGTGAAACACATAGTACATAGAGGGCAGTCAACTAACTTCCATTCCAAAAATTTTGAAAACGTTGGAATATATCTATGAATAATTTGAAACTGAAAGGCTCTAAATTCTGTTGAAATTGTAGTAGTGTAAGGTAGACTGAAAATTTTATTGATAACTACTGGAGATGCATCATACAGTTCCTCCAACCTGGATTTAATTGTTGGAGATTCTATTACTGTGGAATACTTTATTTTTGCTGGAATTAATTTTCGCTGAAAAGGCTTTTTGGGCGTTTTGCTTGGAATTTATTTTCACTGATTTTTCATGAGTTTAATGTGAAATATAGGAAAAAAAGTACATTCGCTGGATTTTATTTTCACGGAATCATCCCTTCAGCGAAAATAAATTCCAAGTGAAAATAAAGTATTCTACAGTATTACACATATACCGATACTTATAAACTAGTACTCGTTTACTTGTTAATAAATTGATATGTATATGTATATATGATAATGTTGATATAAATTGACAAACCGTGTGATGAAAAACTAAAAGCAATATCTGGAACTGTTTACACGGTCCAAAATGATTTTCCAAAATTTGAAAATATTCGCACTGAATTTTTTCAAAATATCTGGCACCCAGAGGTAAAACTGTTAAAATGTGCATCAAGGATTTCTTATCTGATATTTTTGTCACCTTTTATCCAATCTCTGTACCTTGCTCATAGTGATATTTGTTGACAGGTAAAATAAAATATCCAGAGTATGAATGCATGGAAATTAAGTTCTAAGCGAAGATAAACCATGCTAAAAATGCAAAGGCTCATGGGTGAACAATTGTTTGTAAACAATGACACGCTATGGCCATCTGCCACATGCGCATGGATTACTCCCCTGCTTTAATGAATTTTTCTTGCACTTAGCAAACCTGTGCACAGAAAATGTAATCTTTTCATCAATCATTCACTTCCGGTAAAATTGGAAAGTGTGAACAAAAATTGTATGAACAATATGATTTTTGTGAACAGAAATCACCTTTGACCTACCTAATGTTTTCCAAATCTTAATTTACAATTCTGTGGGCGATGCATTTTCTCAGAATAATTCGTGGTTTGATATTCGTTTAAAGGGCGGTAGTCGTCACGCCAAGTATGCGCAAGATATATGGGTTTCATATAAACAAAGATGGCAACTTTGGCTGTTGCGCAGATCAACAAGTACAAACTGAGACGTTACCAAGCTTTAATTAGGTATTTTGTAGGTGATTGGAAGGTGTCAAAGGAGTCACCGACAGTAATTAGTGAAAGTCGGGCCCGGTCAAACCTCATACTTGTGATTTCCATTAGCAGAGCGCATTGGATTGTGGGAAAATCAATGTTTATTAACACAAATGTCGCACATATGTGGTGCGACGACTGCCGTTCTTTAAACTTTTGGCAGTGAAAGTGGCAGCATTTACTAAATCAATCAATATTTAATTTGCTATTGGTAACTAATGAAGTGATTGTAGCAACATTAGGCCCAACCACTCATTCTGAAACATACAGGAAGTGATGAACAAACCCACATTTTATTACCCATTAGGCATTTATTTAAAATTTTCACAAAATTCCTACCATATTACATAAAAAAATTTATTACATATTCATGAGTTTGTAAATAGCATTAAAGTGAAAAAAATTCTTGGCATATTAATTCAGGAAGACAGAAATACAGTTAATTCATTTACAATTTGTTTGATATTTGATTAAAGTCTTCGGACTGGGGAAAATAATTTGTTTCAAAAACAAACAGTCAATACTATATGACTGGCACCCCGTATTGGGGTTTTCAAGATAAGGAATTAACAAAACATGTCTTTAAATTATGACGACAACAAGATGCAGTAATTAATTCTGAACACTTTGACGAGCTACGATTGAGTGAATTTAAATAAAATCTGTGATACAAGTACATGATAATCATATTCTATTCTCCTGTATTACATCTTACTGAAAATGTCTACATTGCTATGGTTACATGTTAAGTAAGCTATACAAAATATTCTAATAAAGTGTAGATATAAATGAAGACCAAAATTAATGAGATCGAGAGTCACAAAACTTGGCCCTTAGAATATGTTGCATTCTCTCCCACGGTGGGACAATAGACATAATGACGAGACAGAATGGAATAATATTTGAGGGGCAAAACCCAAGTCATGGTTGCTCTCTCTCCCTTCCCTTCCCTGTCTCTCTCTCACGATCTTAGCTGCCATTCGCAGCTCAGGTCCATTAGATGCACATTTCCCATATACCAAACAAAGTATTTTACACCTGCAACATGAAATGGGACATAAATTAAACATAATGTGGCACGACATCTTCGTCCCTTTAATACATTGCTTGCCAAAAAACAACAACATCAGCAATGTTTTAAACAGGACTATCAAGTGCACGACACTTCCTGTACTAGTTAATCAGGTGCTGGGTATGCACAATTGTTCATTACTTATTCATATTTACATAAATGCAAATGTTTTGTCATGATGAATGTATGAATCACTCTCTACCCAAAATTCATCAATTAGATTGTCAAACAATATTTAGTATAAATATAAGAAACTTTTTATCTCAACCATAACCTAACAGACTTTTTTAAAACTTTTTATAACACAAAATGCAAACATTAATGAACAAATCAATGGTTAGTTCCAACATTACTGGAGTAATGTGGGATCTCAAAATGTGATTGAATACACAAGACTCTCCCAGAAGTTAGCAGGGGTAAATTCAATAAGATGCTGACATTAACCATAGGTAGGAAGACAGCCATATTGACAACATCATGCTACTTGTGCAATGGACATAATAATTTTCCCAAGGTAAATCAGTAACAATGTGCAGTGGGTTCATAAGAAATAAGATATTAACCACAAAAATATAGATACCGAAGCAAGTTTGTTATGTTTGTGATGTTTTTGAATTATGTTTATGGCAAGCAATAAGGATAATACAGAAATTAAAATATGCAACAAATAATACATCATAAATAAATATGAAAGTATGAAACTTATAATACAAAAAGTATTAAATGGACAACATTTAATAATGTAGTAAAAATAAAAAAAAAAATTAAGAAAATATGGCAAAAAAAAATCTACTGACTTAACTTTGCAGTAAAAAGATTATTAAGTAATGAAATAATAATGTAGATACAAAGCTAGGGGTAGGGCATTTGAAATTGGGTGGAGATGGAGGGCAAGAATTTCAAGCCCCCCCCCAACAAATTTCCATATTCACCCCTGAATATAAAATGGTTTTATGAGATGAAGAAGAAATGATGACATAACGGCAATGATTTTGAGCAGTTTAGGATGACATTACAATGACAATCACGTACTAATCATAAAAGAAAAACTGAGAAATGCGTTGAGTTTACAAAGGTTTGTTCAAATAAAGTGTATGAAGAATAGATAGGCATTCAGTTATTATACCGAGGCCATTCAATTAATGTGACCAGTGATTGCCCTTTTTTCAGTGGCTTTAGTCTAATGAACTTGCATCAAAAGGCCGAAATGTGGAAGGTTATTACACATTTAGTACATTAGCTTCTACACTAAGTTTTCAATTCAAACAGTCTCTATGGGGGGGGGGGGGTATCGGCTGGTATCTAGTGTAAGAAACAGACAAGGGATGAAGTTCCAGTGAGCCTGTGGAGTAAATTTTTGTAGTTTTCTTGATTTATTCAGCAGATATTGGTAAAATATAGGTAAGGCTTTGGCAAAATTTGAAAGAGCAGCTAATATTCAAGCTTATATTTTTTATGGATTTTATTTTTCATTCTATTCGTCTGTTTTCTCCAGTTTAAAAAATATGGGCTGCCTAGAGCCTTCATCCCTTGTCTATTTTTTACACTAGATAACCCCGCCCCCTTGCTCATGAAGACTGCGTACAGTTCATTATAGTTTCTGGGCTCCCTGTGATTCAACCTGAACAAACAATATGATTTTTATTTAGAATACTGAACATG